AAAGAGGTCCCTCAAGTCACAGAGTCAGTAAGTGTCAGAGCCAGGATTCAAATCCTGGACTGTCTGGGTCCAAACCTCAGCACCTTTCACCATTCGGGCTATACAACTATAGTTGTCTGGACCTAGTCATAGTGTGAGTTCTGAGGAAGGACAGTAGCCTTTGCTTCTGGCAGGGAATTTTTAAGAGCAAGGAAAGGAAACTGGAAATTGGGTTGTGGCACACAGAAGTGACCTAGGGTAACCATACAGTCTGTACATCAGACCCAGAAAGGATGATGGTGCCCTCAAGGTTACTGCATCATGGAGACCCTTCCCTGGGACAGGACCGATTCGAGTCTAGAGGTGGCAGTGAATGGTTCTAGCTATGGGAGCCCCTGGGACACTAGAGGCAGGAAACCTGGCTGGTCATTAGAGAAGCAGATTGGGGCCAGAGAGTGGAGGGTCTCAAAAAGCAAGCTGGGACTGAGAGGACAGGCCATATAATGGGTGGCAGTGGAGATAGGAGTACGAAATCAGACACCTCTCTGGCTGGAAGGAGAACCTGCCCACTCTCTAGGATCATCATTTCCTTTTTACTTCTGTTGAGTTCAATAGATCCTGACAGGATTGTCTGCCCTCATGAAAGCAACTCCTTTGCTTTCAAACTTTGCTGATTTCTCCCTTCTGAGCACCAGATCTGGAAGATATATGAAGTCCCAGTGTTTTCCAGGGATGCTTTGCCTCTAACTAGTGGTTGGATACCCCAAGCAGACCTTGTACAGTTGGGACAGAGCTGTGGGAGTTATGACATTTGTGAGCCACGTGTCTGCGGCGTGTGAATCACAACTGTCTCTGAGCCAGTGGTCAAGGCAGGGGGAAGCCAGAGGATTTGAGACGAAGACACTAGGATAAGAAAGGGGCAGAGAGTAGGCAGAGAGTGAGCAGCATGGGGAAGAGAGCCTCCCTGGGCAGGTGGCTCCATTTGATTTCCGATTTAAGGGGGAGGCTTAGATAGCCAAGAAGAAAAAGGCTAATAAGAAAAATATTAAACTGCAGTGTGTGTGTCCCCAGGGACTTCCTGTTGCCATGACTGACCTCCCGGAGAGCGCCATTCGTTCCGGAGCATGGCAGCTTTATAGGCACTTGTAGGCCTGCAAAGAACACCAATTTGCTGCTGCAGTTTGTTTTGATAACTGAAACTTTCAATAAATCTATATTAAAATCAAAGGGAAAATTAACTAGGCCCCAGTGAGGGGCATGGAGATAAGGGAGCACATTACCACCTTGGCCTCAGCCACCCCACATCCATCTCTTAGTTCAGATTCAGGTCACCAGGGAGATGAATGGCTCAGGCTCCTCGAAGCAGCCCTGGAGAGAGCAGGGAGAAGAAGGCATGGCCAGGTCCAGCCCCCACTGCTCCTCGAGTGGCAGAAGACTGCTGGGGGATAGAGGTGGAGGAATGAGGAGGTGGTAAGGGTGAGAATAATAGTAAAAGCCACTATTTACTGAACTCTTTATTCCAGGTACTATGCTAAGCAGTTGGATATTTAATTCTAATAACAAGTAGGTATTAGTATTATCTTCACTCTCGAGATGAAGAAACCAAACCTCAGTGAGGTATGTGACTGGCCCAAGGTCACAGATCAAGCCAGGACTCAAACCTGCACAGGCTTTCTCTGAGCCTACACTCTTTCTAACTATACCATGCTTGTTTTATGTAGCTAACAGGGACTATGATGGCAGCAGCACTTTTTCCAGTTCACAGATAAAACGGTTTCAGACCCAGTCTGGTTTCTCTCAGCTGCACCAAGTTTAGGGGCTTGCCATGTACTGTCTTTGGGTCTTTTGTTCTCAGCCCCTTTGATTGCCAGTTAAGGTCCTAGCTTTGATGGCCATCTTGCTGATTTTCCCTGGTGGTTTGACAGGGTAGCAGAATACCCAACTCTCATCTGTTCCTACTCTCCCTGTTCACTTTAGCTCAGTCACTTAATCCAGCAGCCAAGAGTCTGTCCAGGGTGTACCTGTGTCCACACACTGGACTCAGTTCATCTGTCTCCCAAGATTCACGCCTTTGCCCCATCCACACCCCACTCTGGGTGTTGGTCATTTGTTTATCGGACAGCCCAGCTGCCACTACTACCTCATATACTAACACATCTGGTTATCCTAGTCTCCCCTGGGACGAGGACTAGGTTTTGACACAGCCTTCAATGTCCTCCCTTTGTGGTGGAACTGAAGCAGGCCCAATTTCACCAAACCAGAGGCTTTGACTCTTCTTATCATTTCCAGTGTCAGATGAACCACTAAGCTTCAGGGTATGAAATCGGGGACCCCCTGTGGCTACTGGCATGGTGGGGTAACACAACCCTTCTCTTCTCCCTGTCTGAGACACAATGGTTCTACAGAGTCTGTCTAGAATACATACTGCATGACACAGCAACTAGCTATGTTTTCTTTGAGACTTTGGCCAACTTCTTGGTAATATACTACCTTATATTTTTGTTCCCTCCTTCCCTGCCTCACTTCCCTTTTCCACTCACCATTTATTTATTTATTTTTAAGAGACGAGGTCTTACTATGTTGCCCAGTCTGGCCTTGAACTCCTGCAATCCTCCTGTCTCAGCCTCCTGCCTCCCCAGTAGTTGGAACTACTAGTGTGCACCACTGTGCCTAGCTCCCTCCACTCTTGATGTGGAAGTATAATCCTCAACTAAGTTTGAGCATGTAAGCTTTGCCACATGCTCTATTTTCTAGGGAACCAAAAAGAAAGCACAAAACAGAGACAAAGTGTGAGGGAGCCAAATGCTAGCTTAGGTGGTAGTGTAAGGCACCAACTGTTTACTGAGCTCTGAAACTGTTCTATTATTTGAATGCATTTTGTCAGGTCTTTGTGCAAAAAGAGCTTACAGTCTACTGAAGTCCAGAAGATGCATAGTTGAGCACTAGAGCACCAAAGAAGAAAGAGCACATTTTGGGGAAGGCTCCATGGAGGATATTGGGGCTGGGCATTAAATAAATCCTTCAATCCAGATAGCATAGATTTACTTCATTCTTATGGGCAAAAAGGTTGGCTGTGCCCTATTCTCAGATCAGAACTCAGTATATAACAAAGCCATCTTATTGCCTCTGATTTATCTTATTTGTATATTTACTTACTTGTTTATTGTATGTTTGTCCTCTCCCATTCACTCTCCAATTTAAAAGCACCTTGAGAATACAGTTTTAGGTGTCTTATTCATCATTGGATCCTCAGCAACAGAAACAGTGCCCGACACTTAAGGGAGGCACTATAAATATATGCAGACTGATTGACCAACTGGGGTTCATGTCTAGGCAAGAAGAGGAGGAAGAAGACCCAGTTTCCAGCTCTAAGAATCAGGGGATAGGCAGATGTGGCTCCACTTTACTGACCTTAGGATAAGTCTGTCCCTATTACTGTTTGTTCTCTCCTTTGTTCACAAACCTTCATTGCAGACTGCTTTATGCTGGGCACTGTGCTGGGAAATACTGATATGGCATGAACAATATGGAAATAATGCTTTGCCTAAAGTAGCTTACAGTCGTAGGGGAGAGATGACAAGGCAATAGACAATTATAAAACAATGTGATAAATGCTGTAGGTACATAGTAGAAACACCTAAGCTATGATGTGGGTGGGAATGAGGAGGCATTCCCTGATAATGGAGATTAGCAGGCATTCCTAAGTTTAGGCCAGAGCCTTTATGTTAAGATCAGATCTCAGAGGTGGTAGGGCCCAGAAATTATGTCATTGTCTTAAGTGAAAATCTGTGGACGGCACACAGAGGTGCTTGGTAACTGGAGCTGGGCCCAGAAGACAGGTCCTGACTGATTGAGGAAGCTGTCAAAGCCATCATTGGCTTGTCCAAGGCTAGAGTTTCCCAGCTCATAAATTGGTACCCATGACTTCCCAGAGAGGCATAACCAAGAATAAAAAACACATCTCTGGCTTTGTGTCTCCAGGTGACTAGAGAGACCGACTGTGGGAGCTTCTCACAGCTTAGGCCAGAATCCTTCTAAACCTTAAGTTTCCTCCGAGTGGACCCAAACAAGTCAGTTCCTACTTCTTTAGGAAGATCCTTTAGAAATCGAAGCATTTGCTTCTCAGCCTAAACCCCGCCTCCTCTCAGGTCTCCCCTAGGCCCATATCAGAGAGTAAATGATAATAATTACTTGTTGAATGCACGAATCATAAGAACGTATCATCTAAATAGAACCTGTCATCTTAAGAGACTATACTTACCTTATGGGTATATTAGAAGGTGGGAAAAGGGAGAGCGTGGGACCTGGGTCGCTCTAGGCCTTAGAAAATTTTCGTTTTTTTTTAAAAAAAATTCCTTTCACAGCTCGGAAGTGGCCCCCGCCCCGCCTTCTCTTCTGAGTACGTGCAACCTCAAAACTACAAGTCCCATAAGGCCGGCCGCTGGGAGTCACCATCTTGACACACCTTAGCGCGCATGTCGGCAGGAGAGCGAGGGTTTGGGGCGAAGAAGCCCCGCCCCACCACAGCCCATTGGTCAAAGAGGCCGACGGCGGGCCCAGCGGTTGGCCACGGCGCCCGCCCGTCCGCCGCGTCGGTCGGGGTCAGAGTGCGCGGAGGTGAGTCGGTGTGTTGTGGACTCGTGGTGCTGGCTGCCGCTGTTGAGGCGGCCGGGAACGGGCGGTGGGGAGCAGGCGGAGCTGACCCTGCCTCTATCTGGCCGTCGCCGCAGTCGGCGCGGGCCGCGCCCGCCGCCGTCCACTGTCCTGAGCGCCTGCTGAGGCCAAGGGAGACGTCGGGGCCTGCACCTGGAGGGAGCCTGCCGCGCTGGCCCCAAGGAGGGGGCGTTGCCATGGCAACAGCCTCTCCCGCAGCTGACGTGGGGCGGGGGCGGCCCTGGGAAGGAGGGCTGGTCTCCTGGCCCCCTGCCCCTCCCCTTACGCTCCCCTGGACTTGGATGGGCCCGAGTTGGGGGCAACACCCCGGGGTGGGTGATGCTGAGTGGCCCCCAGATTGGGCCCTGGGTAATGCATGCGGGGTGAGGGGCGCGGTGCGCACATCTTGTGCGGCCTGGGTGCTGGCCCATGTGCTCACCCTGGATGCATGATCTACTGAGTAACGTTGTGGTGGAGGGGGAGCGGGGCAGGGCTTTACAAGACAAACTGGGTGAGTTGATTAAGGGGGCTGACTTTTTACATGGGATTTCTAGAGAAGAGGAAGATAGGTTTGACCAGAGAGGCTAGAAACGTAGCAAGAAGATTGTAGCTAGAACATCCCCTTTCCCCCCTCCCTGACATAGACACACACACAGGGTTAGCAGTTTATCTCTTTGTAAATCTGAAGTGGTGGTAATAGTGATGGGAAGAGTGTATAAGGGGCCTAACCTAGCTACCTTTCTGTTTGCCTTGGCTATAAATGGTCCAGCAACAGGTGTTTTCTTAAAACAAAGCATGAACTTGGATTGAGGTTTGATTGTGAGTTCTTGAAAAATATAACTGCTTCTTGTTGACTTGGAGGATGCCTTATGTGGGGCCTCCTCAATGAGGGTTTGGATTGTGACCTTGTGGATGGATTTTGTAACTGATAGTGCCCCATCATTGCCTTTGCTAGACGTGTTTGGCCACCTCAATGGCATTTACTCTTGTCAGACGTTTTATCAGTCTCCCAGCTGAAGGGCAGTAAAACACCAATCCCATTGGCCAAAGACTATATACTCTTTGGACTGTAGTAGGTTGTGATTGGCTGAATGATTTTGATTGTAGAATTTCTTCCAGAAATTGGCTTCATCAAATTCTGCTTTATTCTGACTTTATCATATACAGCATGCCTTGTTTTAGTGGGTTCGTGCTTGAAGCATAAGTATATTATACCTGAATCCCCTACCATTTAAAAGCCAATTTATAAACAGGGACTTGGAGTGTGACTCCGCTAATGTGTGTCTGTGATCTTGGTTAGAAACCCACTTGGCTGCCTTTCATCAGGAGGTGGAGGGTGGGGGAAGGGAGCTGCCGGGAAGTGATTGATAAGGTTTCCTTTATGGATTCTGTGGTGCTTCACTGGAGCTCAGAGCACTTTGGCAACTTAAGCACTCCAAATTAAAAGCTCATTAACAATTCCTGCCCAAAGATCCTGTAAATAATCAGCTAGCTAGGTCATAGAGCTTGGCTAAGAGCTCTCCTTCCAACTTGAAATTTCCAAATAAAAGTGCTTTTATTCCCTTTCATTTTGAAAAGTATTTTCTTTGTGTTGGGGTAAATTGGTGAGTGGCCTTTTCCCAGGGGATCTGAGTAGAATAAAGTCTTAAATGTGTAGAATAGTAGAGAGGAATATATTGGTTCCAATTCTAGGTGTTTCTTTGTGCAAAGAGCATCACTAGCTTACAAGGGCATCTCTGCAACTTCTAATGCTTTGGAAGATCTAAATTAGCTGATCAATATGATAGATATCCATTGATGCTTTGACTTGGGGTTACCTTGACTTTCTTAGAACTTGAGACAGGCTTGGAAGTATCCTGAAAGTGTTTCCTGGTCCATGTGACGATGTGGCGTGTGGGTTTGTGGCAGCCAACCCCTCCTTGAGTCCTGGTCCAGCCTTAGTTCCAGAGTTCTGAATATTGTTGGACTTACCAGTGTTTTCTTCTTTGAGTAGACTAGGATTCTGAAATTAGCCAGAGAGCCACCACTTCATGACCATCTTTTTCAGTTCAGGCTCAGATATGGTAAATGTTTAGTGTTTCTAGGAGTTAAGCCTCCTTAGGAAGAAAAGTATACTACTAGAGAACATGAAAATCATTACAAAAAACAAATAATAGTACTAAGCTTCTGAAAGCTCTGTAGGGACACTGTTTTTCCACATAGATAGCTGTTATCCCAGAGTTTGAATTTAGGAGTTCGAGATGTAGTATGATCCTTAATGGGGATTTGATCCTTTGTATTGAAATAGACTTGTTGCAGAGATGTGTATTTATTCACAGCATTGGGGCATTCCAGCTCTCACAGAACCTTCAGCATCCCCAGCAGCCAGTCTTGGCATCTTCGAAGTAAGGAGAGGTGAGAATCCTATTGCATGGTCAAGTTAAGTATTTGGACTTGGAGGGTAGAGGGTGGGGGCTGGTACAGATTGTATTTTTCTGTAACTTCTGTGATAAAGCAGCAATGCTCAGTATGCTCAAAGCATATTGAAACATACCCAGAGTCTGTAAAATGGTGAGAATTGGAGGTGAGGGATCCAGACTCTCAAGTTCTGTCATGATTTCTTTATGGGCATCTCATAAGACCTACTTTAGGTTCAGGGTGGTTGCATGGAGCCAGAATAGTTCTTTACCCTGAGAAATACACGTCTTAAAACAATAGGAAGGGCCGGGCGCGATGACTCATGCCTGAAGTCCTAGCTTTCTGGGAGGCCGAGGCGGGCGGATTGCTCGAGTTCAGGAGTTCGAAACCAGCCTGAGCAAGAGCGAGACCCCGTCTCTACTATAAATGGAAAGAAATTAATTGGCCAACTAAAAATATATACAAAAAATTAGCCGGACTTGGTGGCGCATGCCTGTAGTCCCAGCTACTCGGGAGGCTGAGGCAGGAGGATCGCTTGAGCCCAGGAGTTTGAGGTTGCTGTGAGCTAGGCTGACGCCACGGCACTCACTCTAGCCTGGGCAACAAAGCGAGACTCTGTCTCAAAAAAAAAAAAAAAAAAAAAAAAAACAATAGGAGGAAACATTTGACTTTTGATAGCATATTTGACCAAGGCCTTTGAGATCTTGATTTAATTTGGGTCGTTTGTCACCTTTGGGTGGTTAATCCCAACCTATCTCCATTTTACAATGATTGAGGTTAGCTAAAGAGGGGGACTCTGATATTGATATCCAGGGACTCAGAGGCTGTTTGTTCAGTAACTAAGGGCCAGGCATTTTGATGGTTCCTGGGATTGTGGTGGTGAACAAGACAGCCACTGTCCTTGACACCAAAGAGCTTACAAATTCAAAGCAGCTAGTAAAAAGGCAGGTATGATATACTCTGAGAGTGCTATAGTAAGGGAACTGTAGGTACTTTGAAAATAATCACAAGGGCCCCTAACCCTGACTTGTGGACTCAGGAAGCCTCTCAGAGGAAGTAAGCTCCTCACCTAGAATTAGATGAAGACATGAGGGACCAAGTGCCAGAACTTCACTGAGTTGAGAAAGTTTAATGTGGCTGCAATAGAGTGCAGGGGACAGGAGAATATGTAGAGATGAAGCAGGAAAGGTAAGCAGAGGCCAGAGCCTTATAAACTCTTAGGATTGGGGGGGGATAGAAAAAAGATTAGATTAGGAGTCTGCACATTTTTTCAGTAAAGGACAAGATAGTAAATATTTAGGCTTTGTGAGTCTCTGTCATGGTTACTCTGTGGTTATGCATGAAAGAAGCCATAGACGATATGAAAATGAATGAGCATGGATGTGTTCCAGTAAAACTTTATTTACAATAAAAGGTGGCAGGTGGATTTGGCCCATGGACTATATAGTTTGCTGACCTCTGGATCAGATTTAAGAATAGTAAGAAACCATAAAAAGGTTTGAAGCAGTAGATTGACATTAGATTTGTGTTTTAGGTTGGGCTCATGCCTGTAATCCTAGCACTCTGCGGAGGCTGAGGTGGGAGGATCTCTCGAGGTCAGGAGTTTGAGACCAGCCTGAGCAGAGTGAGACCCTTCTCTACTAAAAATAGAAAAAATTAGGCAGGCTTTTGGTAGTATACCCCTGTAGTCCCAGCTACTCAGGAGCTTGAGGTCGGAGGATTGCTTGAGCCCAGGACTTTGAGGTTGCTGTGAGCTAGGCTGATGCCACAGCTCTCTAGCCTGGGTGACAGAGCGAGACTCTGTCTCAAAAAAAACAAAAAAAATTGTGTTTTAGAAAGTTTGCTCTGATTTCAGTGTGAAGAATAGATTGAAGGGGACAGATAATATTGGAGGCAGAGAGACCAGTCATGAGGCTGTGGCAGTTACATGGGTAACATTTTATATTTCCTCTTTTGTGGCAATATTTTGAATCTTTGCGCATATATATATATATATATATATATATGTTCTCTTTACTAACTTCGTGGCCATCTACTGGAGTTTATAGGATGTCTACCAAAGAATCTGCTGGAAATACCTGCTCCTATTTCACAGCCTGGAAAAGATGTAGGGAGGTAAAGTTGTTATAGAATGAATTAGAAGGTTTTGGGAACTGCATTCTAATGAAGGAAGTATGGATTAATGGAGCCCTGGAAGGGATCTTGGTCTTAGGGCTTATAGCTTATTGTCCATTACTCTGAACTTCTTGAACTGTACACACAGAGGATGCCACATTTTCCTAAGCTTTCCAGGGAATTGTCCTCATTCTATATATGTCCTACTCAGTTTCTCCTTTCCTTGCTTGTAGCAGACTGATGACCTTTTCCCAGTTTTGAAAATCTCTCTCAGTTCACATATGATAGTATATGTCAGGTACGGGAACCAAATAAAGTACTGTATTTGTTGAGTGTCCAATGAATAGGTTTAAGCCAATAGTCCTGTGTTCTTTAATTTTGTCTCTTCTTCCTACAAGTCCCAGTATACTTACATTGCTGGAGGGAAGCTTATAGGTTTCTGATAACAGTGTTTATGTGACCTTGGGGAAGTGACTTACCTCTCTGAGCTTCACTTTGCTATCTGTAAAATGGAGATGATGGGACTTAATAGGGTTGGTTAAAGGATTTAATAATGTAAGTAAAGCTCTTAGAATAGTGCCTTGACAATTTTTATCACTAATAGTATTTTACACAATTAATAATTTTTTAAAAAGCAGCCCATAGTTGGGTGACTTGCCCTTTGGCTTACTATGTTTTGGGTCCTCACAATTGTCATTGTGTCCATATGATAGAAACATAGTCCCTGCCGGTGGTAGCCAGCAGACAGGAATTTACAGCTAAAGCAAGGAAGCGCTCTTTATAATGGAAAATTTTCAGACAGTAGCAGTTCCATGCAGAATCCTAGAACTTTTTTCAGGGTGGGACCTTAGTCCCAACACCATCAGTAAAGTGAATTGAGTGAGCAGCTTCCCGATAGAAATTCACCAAAGTGTGACCAGTCGTTCCTCCCTGTCTGTCTGGGGTCATTTATTAGTGTTGCCACCCCTGTGGCCCTACATCTTTGTAAAGTGCTTCTCGAATGTTTTTTATTATTTTTCACCAGCACTCTGGGAAGTGGGTCAGGTGGTCAGCATTCTTGTCCTTGCTATGCACATGAAGAAACTGAGGCCCAGGAAGGCTAAGTGAGTTGCCTGAGGTCATTCTGTGAGGTACTGTGAAAGCTAGTGCATATTTGCCTCCAGATGAAATTGTTTTAGTTTATTGCTATGATTTCTCCTACCTTCAGTGAGAGATGCATAATCATTGCAGAACTGCAGTCTAATGGATGCCTTGTCTGGGTCTACTAGGCTTGATTTGGGTCCCACTTTATCCACTTGGTTCTACTGGGTTTTAATTGATGATTGCTAGGACCAGACCTGTTGGGATGCAGATTTCCTTTGGGTCGTTGTTTTTAGCCTTTCCTCTTTGGGAACATTCCTTGGGGAGCTTTGGGTTAGGAGGGATTGCTTTGATATGTTCAAAATTGTGCCTTGTGCCCCACAGCTACAGGTAAAATCAAAAGGCAGATAATTTATGGGAGTGTCAGAGCTGGCCGCTGGCACCTCAGGAGGCCATTAGTATGCCTGTTCAGACCCTCTGTGTCCTTGCAATTGATTCCTCTTTGCATGAGCCTGATTTGGGAAGCTGTAGATCTGTGGGTAGTGATTGGATGTGACAGTCCAAACACCGGTCCCTAAATTAATCCTTTTAATAGTATTCTGGCACCAGGGCAATTCTCTCTCTCCCTCTCTCTCTCCCTCTCTCTCTCTCTCCCCCTCTCTCTCTCCCTCTCTCTCTCCCTCTCTCTCCCTCCCTCTCCCTCTTCCTTCCTTTCCCTCCCTCTTCCTCCCTTTCCCTCCCCCTCCCCCTCCCTTCCTCCTTTTAAGTGAGGAGGACAGAGTGGTGTAGGCTAGGAAGGATAGAAAGAGAAAGAAAAGAAGCTTTGTTCATGCTTAGGCCCTGCTCTGTTCTAGCATATTCTAATTCCAGGGCAGTTGGCATTATGACTTGGGATATATTAATGCATTCAGCAAACATTTTCTTGTACTTAACTCTGTGCCTGGTCCTGTGCTGGGAATACAGAAAATGTGATACTTGCCCTTAAGGATGTGTTTCTTAGGCTTTTAAACTCATGCACCACTTAGATTAAAAAGGCAAACAAACAAACAAATAAACAAAAAAACACCCCAAAACAAAAACTAATCTCATGCTCTTCTTTAATGCTATTTGAAATTTTAAAATGCATTGGAAGTCTGATAAAAACTAAGTCAAAGAATTATCATGCCAAATATGCTTTTTATACACACATGTACACGTATCCTATACGGCTATCTTCCATCCTTCTCCCCTAACTCCTTGAAAATTACTGGTAGTTATAAAAACAGATACTAACACCTTACAATATAGTGAGATAAAATTTATGAAATAAGAATAAATTCTGCTACTGGATCACACTGAAGCAATTAGCTTTATGATGGAGTGTCAGAGGAAGCTACTAAAATGGGGATATTTGATCTGGGTTTCAAAGAAGGAGCAATAATTTGTTAAAAAATGGAAGTGCATTCATAAACAGAGGGAGTAGCATTCACCAAGGCACAGATTTGTAAAAGGAAACATCACATTTGGGAACCTGAGTAAAAGTGATTGTATCCCTGCCTCCTACCAATTTCTCCTCTCTATATGATGGAAAGATTTGCTCCTTTGGAATTGTGTTTGAGAGGAGGCTTCAAGTTCTTGTGCTGCAGTTGTTTTAATTCAAGGCACCTCTTCCTGTTTCTGATTTTGTGCTTGGGGCTGCAATTTTTCTTTTTAAAGTATAAAAAAAGTATGAAAACAAATTGGGATGATTTGGATGCAATTATTACTTAAGGTTGAGTTCTTTTAATTAAAGTCACACTTTCCCTCAGAAGAAAAACTAAAGT